CGGCCGCCGCCGCCCGCATTACCGCCGCCATTTTTAGCCCGACCGGCGCGCCTCCAACGGTGGGCCCGAGTGCGCATGTGCGCACGGTGTGGTCACGGCGCCTGCGCAGTGTCGGCGGGCAGGAGGCTGTCTGGGATCCGAGTACAGAAAGTGCTTGCGAATTAGGGCTATGGGTTCGAGACTCGACGCCGCCCTAGGGTGATTCACGCAGAGGGAAATGGATAGGATTAGTCCTCCCATGCCTGGCTGCACAGAAGAGGGACATGGCCCTTGCTCTGACCATCTAGACACTTAGCCTTTTTTTTTTTTTCTGAGACAAGGTCTAGCTCTGCCACCCAGGCTGGAGTACAGTAGTGAGATCATAGCACACTACAGTCTCGAACTCCTGGACTCAAAGGATCCTCCCACCTCATCCTCGCCAATAGATGGGATCACAGGCGTGAACTGTTGTGTCAGGCTAGACTCTTAGCCTTGTCATCCTATTTCCTCCAGAAAATGAGTAGCCAACAGGAATTAACCAGCATTTATTTGACATTGGACCAGGTATGTCTTTGTGCACTTACCACACAGTTGCTGCTTCTGCTTTCACAGATGAGGAAAAAGAAGCACAAAGAGGTAGGGTGATTTGATCAAGCGCCAGGACTGCCCTTCTCAATTATTGCACATGACTTGTCTACAAAAATTTTTAAATAAAAAAGAGCAGCCGGGCTCGGTGGCTCAGCCTGTAATCCCGCACCTTGGGAGGCTGAGGTGAGTGGATTGCCTGAGCCCGCGGGTTCGAGACCCGCCCGGGCAACTTGGTGAGACCTCATCTCTACAATAAATCAAAAAATCAGCCGGGTGTGGTAGCGTGTGCCTGTAGTTCCAGCTACTCGGAAGGCTGAGGCGGAACTGCGGTGGCCGGGAGCGGCCAATGCACTCCAGTCTGGGCGACCGAGTGAGACTCCAACTCAGAAAAAATAAATAAATAAACAATAAAAAAATAAAAAAGAGTCAAGACTGAAGATGTGATGGAGCCAGGATTCAAACTGAGAGATATACTATGTGCCAGATAATGATGATAGGGCCCTTAACCTCTAGTGCATAGTTCTCAAAGCACAGACCCTGTTAAAGAAAACGTTTTTCATGATGCTTGTTAAAAAAATAAGTGGCTCAGCCGGGCTCGGTGGCTCAGCCTGTAATCCCGCGCCTTTGGGAGGGTGAGGTGAGTGGATTGCCGGAGCCCGCGGGTTCGAGACCCGCCTGGGC